GAGGTCGACCCCTAGGCGCCTCGATCATGGGGTGCCTCAGGGCTCGGTCCTGTCCTCCCTTCTTTTTAACATCTACATGAAACCGCTGGGTGAGATCATTCGGCGACACGGGGTGAGGTATCATCAGTACGCGGATGATACCCAATTATATATCTCCACCCCGTGTCCTTTCAGTGAAGCAGTCGACGTGATGTGCCGGTGCCTGGAAGAGGTGAGGGTCTGGATGGGGGTGAACAGGCTTAGACTCAACCCTGACAAGACCGAGTGGCTCTGGGTCTTGCCTCCCAAAGGTCAACTGGATGGTCCATCATTAGTCCTGGGGGGGGGGCAAATTTACCTCCCTCGGTGCAGGCACGCAACTTGGGTGTCCTCCTGGACTCACAGCTAAATTTGGAACAACATCTATCGGCTGTGGCCAGGGGGACCTTTGCCCAGGTTCGCCTGGTGCACCAGTTGCGGCCTTATCTGGACCGAGAGGCTTTACTCACAGTCACTCATGCCCTCGTCACCTCAAGACTGGATTACTGTAATGCGCTCTATATGGGGCTACCCTTGAAGAGCGTTCGGAGGCTGCAGTTGGTTCAGAATGCAGCCGCGAGAGCGATTGTGGGCGCGCCAAGGTACGCCCACATGTCATCTATCCTCCGCGAGCTGCACTGGCTTCCTGTGGGTCTCCGGACGCAATTCAAGGTGTTGGTTATCACCTTTAAAGCCCTTCATGGCATAGGGCCAGGTTACTTACAGGACCGCATACTGCCGCACAGTTCCCAGAGACCGGTGAGGTCCCATAGTTTGGGCCTCCTTCAGGTCCCGTCAGCCAGACAATGTCGGCTGGCGGGCCCTCGGGGAAGGGCCTTTTCTGTGGTGGCTCCGACCTGGTGGAATCAACTTCCCCCCAAGGTTCGAACAACTCCCACCCTGCCGGCCTTTAAGAAAGCCGTTAAAACTCTCCTGTTCCGGCAGGCCTGGGGCTGATGTCCCCGGGGGGGGGGGCGGGACATGATCGGACTTGCGGTATGATTGAATTATTTTATTGTTTTATTCTCGATGATTGTTTTAATTTTGTACGCCGCCCTGAGTCCTTTGGGATTGGGCGGCATATAAATAAAATAAATAAATAAATAAATTTGCGGATGACACCAAGCTGGCAGTAATAGCCAACACTCCAGAAGATAGGATGAAGATACAGGAGGATCTAGACAGATTTGAACACTGGGCGCTATCTAACAAAATGAAATTCAATGGTGAAAAAAGTAAAGTTCTACATTTAGACAAGAAAAAACAAATGTACAGGTATAGTATAGAGGGTACCTTGCTCAATAGTAGTAACTGTGAGAGGGATCTCGGAGTCCTAGTGGACAATCACTTAAATATGAGCCAGCAGTGTGCTGCAGCTGCCAAAAAAGCCAACACAGTGCTGGGCTGCATTAACAGAGGGATAGAATCAAGATCTCGTGAAATATTAATACCACTTTACAATGCCTTGGTAAGGCCACACTTGGAATACTGCATCCAGTTTTGGTCACCACGATGTAAAAAAGATCTTGAGACTCTAGAAAGAGTACAGAGAAGAGCAACAAAGATGATTAGGGGACTGGAGGCTAAAACATATAAGGAACGGTTACTGGAATTGGGTATGTCTAGTTCACAGGTCGGCAACCTGCGGCTCCAGAGCCGCATGCGGCTCTTTGAGCCTTCCCCTGTGACTCCCAGCCTCCTCTGCCATTTGCAGAGAGAGACAGAGACAGAGAGAGGCACTTGCGCTTCCCTGTCTCTCTCTGTCTCTGTGTTTGTGTTTATGTGTGTATGTTTGTATGTATATGTGTGTGTGTGTATGTGTGTAAAAGAGAGTGGACTCACTGTGTCCTCCGACAAGCTGAAAATCTTTTGGGCTTGGCTCCTCCCTTTGCTGCGTCTCTGCAGGAAGCAGGAAGGGCAGGAGAGAGCTAGCTAGCCCAGCTATGCTGACTCAGGAATTCTGGGAATTGAAGTCCATAAGTCATAAAAGAGCCGAGGTTGCCTACCTCTGAGCTTGTTGGAGAACAGCTTGAAGCCAGCTTTCCAGGTGTGCAGAAGATCGGAGAGAGGGAGGGCGGGAGGGGGGGAGAAAGAGAGAGAGAGGGAAGGAGAGAGAGAGAAAGAGGAAAGAGAGAGAAAGAGAGTGGGGGAAGAGGACTGGCAGACCAAGGGCAGAAAGAAAGAGAGGGAGAGAGAGGGAGGGAGAGAGAGACAGAGAGACCCTTTTGATATCTAAAATGAAGATAACACTGCATATATCCTTTTTTACCTTTATGAGATATATATATATATATATATATATATATATATATATATATATATATATATATGTGTGTGTGTGTGTGTGTGTGTGTGTGTGTGTGTGTGTGTGTGTGTGTGTGCGCGCGCGCGCAGGAAGTTTTTCAGACAGATGTCTAATTGATTACACCTTGACATTTTTTAACTGCTATACTGCAGTTTTACTTTTTACAATCTCTTTTGTCTTGCAGCCCCCAACTAGGGGCGCTAAGCAAGCTCAAGTCACAACTGCGAAACATTACAAATCCAAATTTCTTTTTCTGACAAAGAATTAAAGAATTAAATTGGGAGACTAAGATGGCCATTTCGAGCTCATTCTGCTCTCTTCAGTTAGCCACACCCTTTATATATATGTGTGTGTGTATGTTGTTGGAGAACATACATACATACATATATATTTTGTTGTTGTTGTTGTTATTGTTAATTGCGAAGTCATGTCCGACCCATCGCGACCCCATGGACAATGTTCCTCCAGGTCTTCCTGTTATCTACCATCTTCTGGAGTCCATTTAAGTTCACACCTACTGCTTCAGTGACTCCATCCAGCCATCTCATTCTCTGTCGTCCCCTTCTTCTATTGCCCTCAATCTTTACCAGCATTAGGCCCTTCTCCAGTGAGTCCTTCCTTCTCATTAGGTGGCCAAAGTATTTGAGTTTCAACTTCAGGATCTGGCCTTCTAAAGAGCAGTCGGGGTTGATCTCTTCTAGGACTGACCGGTTTGAACGCCTTGCAGTCCAGGGGACTCACAGGAGTCTTCTCCAGCACCATAGTTCAAAGGCCTCAATTCTTTTGTGCTCAGCCTTTCTTATGGTCCAACTTTCACAGCCATACATTGCAACTGGGAAAACCATGGCCTGGACTATATCTTCCTTTTAGATATCAAAAGGGTTTTGCGGCTCCCAGTGTTTTGTTTTTGGTGGGAAACGGGTCCAAGTGGCTCTTTGAGTGTTTTGGGTTGCCTACCCCTGGTCTAGTTTAATGAAAAGAAGGACTGGGGGGGACATGATTGCAATATTCCAATATCTCAGGGGTTGCCACAAAGAAGAGAGAGTCAAGCTATTCTCCAAAGCGCCTGAAGGCAGGACAAGAAGCAACGGATGGAAACTAATAAAGGAGAGAAGCAACCTAGAACTAAGGAGAAACTTCCTGACAGTTAGAACAATTAACCAGTGGAACAACCTGCCTCCAGAAGCGGTGAATGCTCCAACATTGGAAGTTTTTAAGAAGAGACTAGACAGCCATTTGTCCAAAATGGTGTAGGGCTCCTGCCTGAGCAGGGGGTTGGACTCGATGACCTCCAAAGTCCCTTCCAACTTTATTATTATTATTAACCATAAGCTCACACCTCAAAACTCACAAACTTGTGTTATATTTAACACCTTCAGAAGAGCCTTTGCAACTGGTATCTCCCCAATTAGCCAAAGGCTAATGATATGCATGAGCTCCAGCCCTTTACAGTCTTAGTGACCAGTTACTCATATCCTCATAAGCAAACTAAAAAAAATATATGAATCTATTTGCATAGAATTAAGAAAGTCTCCTATTTTCAATAGTTCGTTAGAAGTCCTGCAAACTAGGAAGATGAAACCAACTTCTTTAGAAAGCAGAGAACCATGCAAGCAATTATAGAAATGGTTCTTCTGTTCCCCGCTTTTACAAGCATCCATTTCCCTGCTACCCCTCACGTATGACAATATTATAATACAGAAAGCAGTGTCTTGTTCACAATCAGCTAGTTTCAAGCACACAAGCAAATAACCATGTAGATCTCAAACAGCTGGCAAATTAAATATAAAAATATATGTTCTCATAGAAACTTATTATTTTGTATAACATTGCTAACTTTAAGCGCTACCATATATGCAAAAAGGCAGGAAACAAATTTTAAGACAAGGTAGTAAATCACAGCCTCCTCCAATATTGATGGGAATTATTCATTTGCCAGATAAACCCTTACTATGTCCCCAAATCTCCACCTTGAAAATCAACATCTGAAAATCCATGGCTGAATAAAAGATTATTATGCTCATCTAGCCCATCTTGTCAACATCAGGTATGTCAAGATGAAATCAGGGTAATCTAAATTTGTGAGTCAAAGAAGCCTACAGGTTAGTTATGGCCCAACTGTGGCAGAAAGCAATAATGCACATATGTTTTATTGGACAGCTGACTGACTCTTCCATCTCCAACATAAAGCACCCATCTCTATTTTAAAAGCAATAAAAATAATATAAAACAACCATCTCTTGACAGAGGATGTCTGTGCTATTAAATTGGTAAGAGACAGTACCAGTCACTGAGAGAAAATTAGTTGCTCACATAAGAAAATTGGAGAAAATTTACTATTTTTTTCTGACACTTTGGCAATAGACATAGCTGTGCTGATAAATCCTGTTTCAAGGATTCTCTCTCTTTTCTATAACTGAGGATCTAGGACCTCTCTATGCAGACACCACTGCATAATATACAGGGTAAACTTTGGTTATTGAAATATGGGGAGCCATTTTTGGTTTTTTAGACTCTAATTTCTATCATGTGAGATGAAATGCTATAACATATCTGGTCATCTGTGGCCGGTTGACACTGAAGACTCAAATACACTATGGAATCCTAGGGATGGTATGCCCTTATTGATACTATATGTTGTAAGATACAAATCAGCATTACGCTTATCAGAACTTACCATTTTGTCCAGAAAGATCACCAAATCCTGAGGTAAATAAGCAAAAAATGTCAGACATTAACATCAAGTTCTTCTTGAGAAAAATCCTCTTATTTTGTCTTCCACTGCTTAGTCCATCTTAGTCAGCCCAGCCCAGATTGAGAGCAGCAGGAACACAACATCATGCATATTCTTAATGCTATTTGCACTCCATCATAATTGAATTTTAACAGATCATAATAGTGCACTTTGGGCATGCAGCCAACTCAATTTACCTAGGGCAGACACTGTCTCTTCTTCACTTAAAACCTGAAACACCATCCATATATGAAATGAAATCTTCCTATGGCTCCCACTGGTCACCTTCTGAATCATAGTCCACTATGTTTTGACAGAAGTGTGGATCCTTTCCAAGTTGAAATTCAGCTTTTCTAACTTAGGCTATTTCTTCAGGTCCAGATGGCTTCAGGGTAGGTGGGGACACTCTTTCAGTAGAAACCTGCATCTTTTACTAGCTCTTTTTTTTCAGTGCAATTGCTCTCTGCCCTGTCTTTGTCTGCATGGAAAAAAAGACTATCCCTAAGGATGGGCTTCTCTCAGTGATGGAATGAAACTTCCTTCTGGGCTGTAGTATGCCAGATACTGTATAAAAAAGCAACATGGGCCTACCTAGTTCATGAACTTTAGATTCCTTATTACTGATTTAACAGAAAGCAGACAGATAATTTATATGTATGAGCATAGCATCTTCTGTCTTGCTTATCAAAGGCTTAATTGTCCTTGCAACCAAAAGTATAATGCAGGAATCTCACTGTTAGAATGCTGCCCATGGATGTGGTGTTCCAAAATCATAATTACAATCCTGCAAATTCTCACACAAATCACCAGTTATTTAAAATATTCAAGGCCATTGATGTTTTAGAGCTGGATGAACTAACAATTCTCAAGTGTGGATTATTAGCAGAATTGAAAAAGTGAGGAAATCACTCTCATTCAACTTTAAACAGCTTTGGTAATATGGAGGAAGAAAAGCTGGCTAAGTTACAATTCCTGTAGTATAACTCACTAAAAATCCATGTGATGTGATTTATCTACCTAGGAAAAAACAGTAACTCTTTATTTTATAATCCTTAATTTCTAAAAAATAAATGGGCTATGATGTATACATAAACTAGATATGCATCCTGAAAATTCTGTTGCCTTTTTCATTCCCATACTTCCTATTATTGCTGGAAATTCCATATCCTGCTAGAATTTGTGCTGGATTACCAAAGCCTCAATTTATCTGCTTTTGTCTCTAGAACTTATTGAAAATGCACCAGATTTTTTACTATAATAACAATCATGGTACTGCTGCCATTAATAACTATAACAATAGCAATAGCAGCATATTAGCATCTTCTTGCCGAGCCAATGTAGCCTTATACGAAGTATGGAATGGTATGTTTGCTACATTAAACCATTTCAGGCTGAGTCAGATTAGCATATGAATGCTATTCTTTCCTATCTCTTGTGTATAAATAGTTCTGAACCCACAACCATCCACTTAGCAACCATTCAAAGTCATGATGATGCTGAATGGTGATTACAGTTGGTCGTAGGAGTTCTGCTGTCCCCATGCTTTAGGACGTGCATTGCTTAATGATGGAAAATGTGGTTGCAATTTCTATCGTAAGTCGAGGACTATCTATAGAGAAATCTTGCATGTAAAAAACTAAGCTATGAGTTATATACATGGAAGTTATACACTTGAAGTGTATCACATCAGTCATATTCTTATGGCTTTGTTCACTATTGAATACTCAGTTGCCTGAATATAGTTCTTGCTTACTGATGGCAACTGGGACCAGCATCTCCATTGTTAAGCAACATAGTTGTAAGGTGTGGTATTATTTGTCTGTGATTTCAGCAGTCTCAGCTGCTATCAATAGATGACTCTCACATAGTCGCAGTTTACTGAAATCACATGATCACCTTTATAACCTCCTATTAGCTTCCTCATTAATTTTGTATATCAGAACACAGTAGAGGTCACAAATGACATCATGTGACTGTGGAGATACTGATATACTATAATACAAGGATAAATCATAACCCTCCCTTATTCAATGCCATTGTAACTTCTGATGGTTGTTGAACAACCATTTGTGGGGACCACCTGTATTGAGGTTGAGCCTCTTTGGTTTAAATACTTCTTTTAACTATTTTAATGTTAATATACTATAAATGCTATTGAGTGTATCTCAATCACGACAAGTGAAGGATATATTATTGACGATCATGACCTACCTTACAAATTTCTTCCTGAGAATATGCTTCTACATCTGCAACAAAAACAGATATTATTAAAACCACTGTATATGCCCATAAATTGATTTTAAAATGCAAGACTTGCCATGGACATCTTCATGTGTGTAATGCCCCTCTGAAACTTTCAACTTAATACCCTAGGTGGACTTGTTTTCGTAGACTCCACAAGTTGAATGGTAGAGTAGAAGATTGTTGAATCAAGACTGGGGAAAACCAATTTCAAATATTCACTATACCATAGAGTGGAAAAACAAAAAAAATGTCCTATTCAGGCTATGAGTGACACCCAAGGAGCATTTCAATTTCTTAGTTGTGTTGGCAGAAGGCAATGATCCATCTACTAGTCAGCAAGCTTAGACTTTTCTTGGAACACATCACTCCTGGAATTGCCATTACTTTGATCTACCTCTCTCTCCTGTCCATCCAAAAGTCTACATGCATGAGCACTCATGTCCCATGACAACTTAGAAAGGAAAAAAGGAAATTACAGACTCTGGCAAAATAGAAATATCAACCTTACTATTGAAGTGAGAAGTTTCAGCCAGCTGGATAGTTTCCACCAAAATGTAGAATAAAATTAAAGTGAACGTGGCACATTTTGGACAACTGGCTATATAACTTTCAATGTCCTTTTTCATGGATGGCCACCAAAATTGCCGTTTAATTAAATGTAAAGTTTTTACAAATCCAAAATGCCCTGCTGATTTTGTGTCATGGCAAAGGTGCATGAAAGTTACTCTTTGAGTTGTTGGTATATATAACTTTTCCCCTACCCAAGGCAACCCGTCTCTCATTGTGCACACATTTTTGTTTTTCTGGAACCATTCATCTGTTTCCAAACTTTTTCTGAATTCAATTCCAATTTGGCTGTCCAGTTGTGGTTTTATTTTGGCTTGGGTTCTTGTGGTTACTGGTGCTGCCAGTTGTGACTCTGCCATTATTGGCCTAGAATCTGTGGTTCGTGCGCTGTTATATTGGGGCATGCGAGATAGTGCATCTGCCAGGAAGTTCTTTCTTCCTGGTAAATGTTTGAGCTTAAATTGGAACTGGTGAAAATGCTGGGACCAGCGGGCTTGTTTGGGATTGAGTTTCCTGGAAGTTTTCAGGGCTTCTAAATTTTTGTGATCAGTCCACACCTGGAAGGGGATTTTGTTGCCTTCCAGGAACTGTCGCCACGTGAGTAATGCCCAACGTATCCCATAAGCCTCCTTCTCCCATACGGGCCAGCGCTGTTCTGTTTCCGTGAGTTTCTTGGATGTATATGCACAGGGTTGCAATACTGCATCATCATTTTCTTGTAATAGCACAGCCCCCACTGCCACATCACTTGCATCTGCCTGTATTACGAAGGGCTTGTCCATGTCTGGGTGCCTTAGTACTGGTTCGGCAGAAAAAAGTCTCTTTAGTCTCTCAAACGCTGCTTGGCACTCCATTGTCCATGTTAGTGGCTGGCTAGGTTTTACTGAGGATGCTCCCTTCGTTTTTAGTAAGTTAGTGAGGGGCAAGGCTATCTGGGCAAATGAGGGGATGAATTGGCGGTAAAAGTTTGCAAAACCCAGGAAACTTTGTAGTTGCTTTCTTGTGCGGGGTGGCGCCCAATCTAATACTGCTTTGACCTTCTCTGGGTTCATTTCAATGCCCTGTGGGGATATGCGATAGCCTAGGTAGTCTATCCTTTCCTGGTGGAATTCGCATTTTGAGAGTTTGGCATATAGGTGGGCGGCTCGCAGCTTCTTTAAAACCGCTCTGACAAGGTTGACGTGTTCCTCTTTTGTTTCAGTAAAATTAAGAATGTTGTCCAAGTAAACAAGGACCCCCTTAAACAGGTGCTCCCTTAGAACGTCATTGATTAATTGCATAAAGACTGCAGGGCCCCCTTGTAATCCAAATGGCAAGACTTTGAATTGATAGCACCCCATGGGGCAGTTAAATGCAGTCTTCCATTCGTCCCCTTCCTTGATTCTCACGCGATAGTAAGCTTCCCTTAGGTCTAGTTTAGAAAAAATTTTCCCTTTCGATAGGTGTGACAGCATGTCTTTCATGAGGGGCAGAGGGTATAGGTTGCTTTCACTGATTGTATTCAGGGCCCTATAATCCACGCATAAACGTAAGGAGCCATCCTTCTTCTCTCTAAAAAGGACCGGGGCAGCCACTTTAGGCTTGGCTGGCTCAATGAAACCTCTCTCTAGGTTTTTTTTTTATAAATCTTTCCATTTCCTCCTTCTCCTTTGGGCTCATGGAGTATAATCTGGGCTTCGGGAGTTTTGCCCCAGGCTTGAATTCAATGGTACAGTCTGTGGGTCGGTGGGGGGGAAGCTCATTCGCCCTCTCCTCACTGAAGACTTCAGCAAGGTCCCTATATTCCTCTGGTATTTCTGTTAATCTTTTTTCCTCTCCTATGGATGCTTTTTCTATTCTTGATTCTGGTAGCCTCCCTTGGGGTTTTAAGTCCATAGGGTCCCCCTTCGGGAATTTGATTTCTGTCGTCCTCCAATTTACCCAGGGGTTCCATTTTTTCAACCATTCCATCCCTAGAATCATTGGGCATTCCATACCTGGGGTCACCACAAACGTTATGTCCTCTTCATGTTTGCCCAGGGAGAGGTGTATTGGTAGAGTGGCTAGGGTAGCTGGCACCCCCCTGCTATGGATCCATCTAGCTGGCCAAATGAGATTGGTTGTTCCAGTCTCCTGGATGGGATGCCCAGATTCCCCACTAGTGTTGGGCTAATGAGGCAGCGGGTGCAGCCAGAGTCTATTAAGGCTTTCACCTTCACAGCTTCGGGCATGGGGGGGATTAATATAGTCACTGTTTTGAAGATGGATGTGATGCATCCACTTACCAGGGGTTCGCCCTCCGAGCTGTCATCTGAGGCATCCACCGGCCCTGTGGTGTAGGCTGGAGTTCTTTCCCCTTGGTGAGCAGAAGTGGGGGGTTCTGCAATTTCCATCATTCTCATGGCCGTTTCTTTTGGCTTAGCTGAAGACTTTCCGGATTTGTTGATTGGGGATCTGTCTGGGTTGTGCTGGGGGGCCTTTGAGCGGCATTCTACAGCTCAATGCCCTTCTCTTCCGCACTTGAAACACCCCATTTGCTTCTTGGCTGTAGCCGATGATTTCACCGGTTCGTGTGTCAGCTCAGGCGGGGGGCGGCTCCATTGTTTTCCTCGGCGATGCCTCTTCAATATGTCGATCTCTGCTTCCTCTGCCAAGACGTACCATTCCTCAAGTCGGTGTGGGTCCCCTCGGGGCAGGCAAGCATCATATAGATCATAGTTTAGTCCGTCTTTGAAATGGCTAAGGAGGATGTCTTCTGGCCAATTCAGTTTGCTGGCAATGGCCCGGAATTCTTGTGTATATTCAGCCACCGGGTGTTTGCCTTGCCTCATCGTTTTTATCCTTTCACGGGCTTTGCGATCAGCCAGGGGGTCTTCAAATCGTCTTCTCAAAGAGGACATGAAACGGTTGAAGTTACTGAGTTCTGGGGCATTGGAGTCATGCAAGTTCACCACCCAATCTGCAGCCGGTCCATCCAGGGCAGATTGCACGATCCGGATGTGGGCTTTGTCGCTGGGAATGTCCTGCCTGTATTCAGTAGCTGTCTCCGGGGTTGCCGGTTCCACGTCCCCCTCGGTGTTTCTCCCTTTGTGGCTCCAGGAGCTGGGGCGGCCGTAGGGCTCAGGATTCTCCTCTCCTAGGGAGCTGAGAGTTCTCTTCATCAGGTCAATAGCTTTCTCTAGGATCCAGTCTGAGTACGGTGCCCAGCTTCCTCCCTCTTCACTTGCGTGCAGGGATTTCTCCATCTCCTGCTTCCATTCTGGTTGCTTGGTCCCCTGTCTCAGGGTCACCTTTCTTGATTCCTTTCCCCACTCACTTTTCTTTCCAACGTCCATTGACCAGCGAGGCTTGTGGTCCCGTGTTTCCACCACTTCTTCTCCTGAGGAATCTGACCTCTCGGATCCCAACATCTGGCAAGGTTCCAACTGGGTCAGCGGCTCTCTTTCCAGGGAGTTTTCCCCCTCTCTTGCTCCATTGTCTGACATGGTAAATTTTTGCAAAATCCCCCGGCAAGGGTCTCCCTTCCAGGTGGATTAATTTTGCAAGTCCTGTCTAATGTAAGGACCCACCCCACTTTGCATCTTAAGAAGACAGAACTCTTGGAATAATTCTTCCAACAGGAATCCTTTATTAAGAAGAAGTGGTTGCAGGCGTGCTAGACAGGACTTGGGGTCCAAGCTCTCCCATTCAAGGTTTTAAGGGGTTCCCCAGCAGTCCCACCCAATCACCCCCCCTTCCAGTGATAGTTTCAGGCATCACAATTCCACCCCTTTGCTCCTTTCTTCCATCTGTATGGAGACTTCAGATAAACTACATGAAAGGTAAATAGCTCTCTTTGTCATGATAAGGTTCTTTGATGCTAGTTACATTCAAAGTCTTTCTTTGATGTTGCAATAAACACATTCAATTCCTTAGAAGTATACTGAAGGAAGTAAGGGCCATAAATCCCCTTTGTTCTCCCCCTTCTCTCCCTCTTATGGCAGAATCCAGAGAAGGCAGAATTGGGGTTTTCTATATTTGATGATTAAAGATGAAATATAATTGGATTCTGACACATATTGACCATTTAAATTCTACCTTATCTCTGGGCTATTAAACAGAACCCTGGTTTGGAGTCTTGCACCCTGAAGCTCTTGAGACCACAATATTATTGCTAGAATTTAATTCCTTTTGGGGTCATGGACCTTGCGTAATGATGACAAAACAGCTTCCCTCAGGATATGACATGCACTCAGAAGAAACTCTGAACATAACCAGTTAAGGAAGAAAAGGGCTGTGGGTGGGGAGAAATGAAGAAGCAAGCTGTTTTTGTACTACTAACAAGCTTCAAAGGATTTATGTCTGCCCTCTACATCCCTAGTAGCCACCAGAACCCATAAGTATTCCCTCTTGTCACCTGCTCAGAGCAATTTAATGTCTTTTTTCCACTCAGGGCCCAGCTGTGTCAACCTTCCATTTTAATCTCCCACAATATCCTTTACATGTCATCACTCTGGCAGTGTGGGAAATGAAATGACAACAACCAGATTGGAGCATTCTTGTTTCTTGTCACTGCAGCTAAGAATGTCCATGAACAGAAGTCAGGGGCCTTGAAAATCTTGGAGCAATTTTACAGCCAAAAGCAAGGACTCTTACAATTTGAAATGTGAAATATAAATACGTGATCCTAGAATTTTCTGCAAACAATATAAAAAGAAAAAATTGCTACATCTCAATTGTTTGACTGCTACTGGAACTTGTTTACTGACACATAACTGCGTGCCCACACATAGTCAGAGAAAATAATGCTTGGCATTTCGATAATGAGAGGATTATGAATCTAAATATGATGAGAAAATGTCATGTTTATTTATAAGTTCTTCCTAGTTGTGTTGGCCAACCAAGTGACACACACATATATAAAGTGCAGATAAATCTATAAAATGTTTTAAAAATCATGTTCAAATGCAGTGTTGATTTGGGGGTTTTGTTGTTCGATATACCAGAAATGGCAAAATGGAGCAATGAACTTTTATAGTTAGCATCATGCCAAGCATTCAAATAGTTGCTTTGTTCTACTTCATGCCATTTGACCTAACATTTGCAGAAGCTTTTCAGTGGGGCTATGCTCTACACAGTGCTGCCCTTGTAGACTATTCAAAGCTTCAGCTAGTTCAAAATGCATTGACCCAAGTGGGAATAGGCTCAGTTTGCCTCTATGAGAGTCCTACTATGGGTGGATTGACTGTTAGCTGGCTTCTGAATGCAATTCAAGATGCTAGTTGTTATCTTAAAAGCCTTGTTTGACTTAGGCTCTGGCCAGTCAAGGCTATTATTGTGGGAAAAGATTCCAGTCATATAGTTCTCGACTTACAATAGTAGTGACCATTCAAAGTTATAACGACACTGGAAAAAGTGAGTTATGATTGTTTTTCACACTTGTGACAGTTGCCGCATCCCTGTGGTCACGTGATCAACATTCATACGCTTGGCAACTGATTCATATTTATGACCGCTGCAGTGTCCTGAGGTCATGTGATCATCTTTTGTGACCTTCTGACGAAGTCAATGGGGATTCACTTGACTGTGTTACTAAGCTAATATCTGCCATGATTTACTTAACTATGACAAGAAAATAGGACACAACTCAATAACTGTCTCTCTTAGCAACAGAAATTTTGGGCTCAGTTGTGGTCATAAGTAGAGGACTGCCAGTAAGCACTACGCTACATGTATGCCTATATATTGAAGAAAATGTTACCGGAAATGGCATACATATGCAAAGTTCAAACTTCAATATCTCTATATTTACTGTTTATTAATTTTCCTTAAATAACTCAAGATGGTTGAGATAGGTTGGGTCGAGATAGAATTTCTGCCCAAAGTCACCCAGTGAGTTTCCAAGCCTGAGGGTAGAGAATTTTCTTCCCTTTCTTTCCTTTATCAAATTTATATAGCTGCCCATCTTGCAACAAGTGACTCTGGGTTGCGTACAACAAAGTTTTTATAGCTAACTTTCCCAGTCTTAGTCCAAAACATCAACCACTACACCATACTGGATTTACAGTGGTAGAGCTGGGAAAGGCCTATCTTGGCTTGTGACCTTTGAGAGTTGCTATCAATTGCAGAAATATTTACTGCATGAAGCCAATTAATACGTAAGCTTTAAAAAATGCAAACAGAATTGCAGGGTTCAAATTACAGCAAAGGTACAAGGGTTAGTTAGGGAATATTTAAGCTCTTTGCTCATCTCTTAGATCCTGATAGAGCAGTTGATTTCAGAGTCTTCAGAGCAGGCTTAAATAGATTAAGAGGTCAATGTCGCTGTAATGCACTTTCATTCATTTTAAATTATCATTGTGGCTTCTTTTCTTGGCAAGATGTTTCTTGTATTGCTAAAACCCATCTGGAAGTCATGATTGAAGAACAAGTGACTTACCAAGGTCACATTTAAAAAATGGACCAGTACAGTGAATCTGTTTTAAAACACGCGCGCGCACACAGGAAACATACCTGGTGGACCCACAGAATTTCCATAGCCTTTCATTTGCAAGGCAATGACACGGAAGCCAGCATCAGCAAGGGCAGGAATCTAACATGGAGAAAAAGACAAAAGTAACCTTGTTGGTGCACAGGTAGTGTGGGCCTGTCTTCCTATAACCCAAAACTTCGATGTAAACATTGCAGCTGCCATATATTATACATGAGAAATGAATATACCTTTTATTTCAAGTAAATTGAACTTATTCTGAAAGAGGGCATTCAAGCAGATTAGGAATAAAAATGCTTAAAAATGGTGTCACCTGGAACCTCCAAGAAAACCAGGACTCTGGAAATCCATGGCAGAGGCAAATAACTGGACCACTCCCCATCTCCACAAAGTGCAACTCTGTGTCGGGCTAAAGACAGGAAGGAAGGAAAGTTTGAGTCATAATTATCAAAGGCAGAAGAAACTGAATCTCTAAACTTCAGAGTAAATTGCTAAAAAGTAGGGCAGGTGTAATAACAAAAACAAGAAAGAAAATGGCTAAGTGGCACTATTTATATGTAAAGGGAAAGACGGGTTGAAAAAGCATTTGCTGAGCTGCAATGAAGAACTTGAGAGAGATAGAAAAGAAGACCAGATCTGCTTTCAATTAATCAATCAGAATAGACCTGGAAGGGACCTTGGAGGTCTTCTAGTCCAGCCCCCTGCTCAAGCTGGAATCCCTATATCATTTCAGACAAATGGCTGTCCAGTCTCTTCTTAAAAACCTCGTGATGAAGCCCCTACAACAGGGGTGTCAAACTGCTGGCCTGAGGGCTGGATGCATCATGCTGAAACCACGCCCATCCCAGCTCCAGCAAGGAGGAAAAAGTCATGATACATTACAACATGTCATGTGACATGGTGAGTTTGACACCCCTGCCCTACAACTTCTGAAGGCAAGCTATTTCACTGGTTAATTGTCCTCACTGTTAGGAAGTTTCTCCTTAATTCCAGGTTGCTTCTCTCCTTAATTAGTTTCCATCCATTGTTTCTTGCCTTTCAGTTGAATACAGTCACAAGGTAACTGAGGCCATGTCTTGCTAGTTATTTGGGATGAGTTTAAGCCTGCTGCTTGCACTATATGAAATGACTAAACACACATTACATGATCTTTCATTTTTACATGATCCAATCACAATAAACAGAATTGTTTCCCCCACTGAAAGCAATTAAAATGTCAATTTTAAATACAGACTTTTTACCATTACCTTGATTTTTACAAATCCGTGGGCTACATCCTGGGGCTCGCATGCTGAAGGAAGATATTCTTCCTGGTCAAGAAGCTGTGGAATAGTTAATTAAATGAGTGAGATTTCAAGCACCACATGAGTCTGCTCAAGATGGGGATCTATTATGATTAGCGACCAATCTCTATGATGTTTAGTAACAAGATTTTTTCCCCCATTGCTGCAGTCTTTCCCTTTAAAAAAAATCAAGGGAGATGTCAGGAATTGAAACTAAAGCTTTCTACATACAGAGAGCATGCTCACTACTGAAGGAAGAGCTAGTATCTTTTTATTTTAAACATTCATAATCTTCCCCTATCATTACAATGCCTTTTGATGCCACTAATTAAAAAAGCAATAGTTAGAGACTTAATGCATAAAATCTGACAATAATTTCAGCAGACACACAATAGCTGAATTGAAAGAGGACAAAATGCAACATTTTTCATTTCATAACATCAAGAGGACCCAGAAAAAAACAGTGGATCATCTTTTCTGTACTGCTCCCAGAAAAACTAAATAAACACTTCAACTTGAAGGAGATTTCACTTACTTACTAGTAACAGTTAGCTGAATGAAGTCAATTGCACAAACATAAACTAATCATACTGGCTAGGTTCACACAACATACTTGAATGCACTGAGTAAATCTATCTATTCCAGCAATAAATCAAAATTGAAAATGGATGGATGGATGATGAATGATGGATGGCCAGTACTGGAGGAAAATGTCACAAAAAACACCAAATATTCAGACTAACAGCTCTTGTAATAAATATAGATAATAGAGGAGCTTTAATTGATACAAGTATGCAAGAACCTTCTCCTAAAATATATATTTTTCGAATATCTACAGCAGGGATGTCAAACTTGCAACATCACATGACATGTCACAACATATCGTGACTTTTTTTTCCATTGCCGGCAATGGGGTAGGCGCAGTTTTAGCATGACGCATCCGGCCATGGGCCGACAGTTTGACACCCCTGATCTATAGTATAACAAAAAGGACTGAGAACTCAATTAAAAGAGTAAAAAGGAAGCTCAAATTCATTCTGCTCAATTCCTCATAAAAATTCCATTCCTGGAAGATAATAAAATCCAGCTAAAATGATTTAAAAGCCCATATTTAAATTGCCTGCTTTTAAAAACAATCCTGCTAAGGGAAAAATGCCCTTCTAAATATTTGTAGCACAAATCCCAGCAATTTGCTTAGTGCAAAGGTAGAAAGAAACCTAGATCCACAGAGAAATGCAAATCTTTGCATTTTATTTTTTAAAGGGGAAGAAGCAGATCCACTTTCAAAGAATCAGCTGGTATGTGAGTTGGATGAAGTATTTTAGGGTAGACACAATGAAAGCACTACAGAAAAATGTGTTCATTCTAACACAAAGTAACCAGATCCTGCTTGGCTTGAAATGGCCAACCACTGAGTTAGGTTTACAAGGTTAATATTATATACCCAGGCATATGAAAATCAGCAGTCCTGGGCAGCCATCTCTTCCCTGGTTAATCTCTTCCCTGGTTCAGCTATTGTTGTCACGTTCATCTTGCAGATTAGTCAAAACAGTAACTGTACAGTAGTAGCAAAAGAGGCATGCAAGCTTATGAGCTATATAGAACCAGCTATCAGTCAGGAGAAATTATAGTAGGTTCCATAGTTCTTAGCCACACATATAGTTATCCCATGAGAATGGACCCCAAAAGAGATGGAAGTAGAAAGGCAACAGTTATTCCAGAAATTGCCCAGTTGGATTCTTTCCTTCTCTTCTACCTGCCTGTCCATAACCCTAGATATTGCCTGCAACAGTCCTAAGGAAAGGATCCTAGAACTTTTATTTCTCAGGAATGGTTGTTATATTGTATTTACAGTTGTTTATATTGCTTGCAAGCCATTTTGGGAACACTGTGATCCTGAAAGGAGGAATATGGTCAGGTTCTTTGACAGCTGCCTCAGTCCAGAAGTAATTCTTTCTAAGCAAGATTTTCAGAACCTTCTTTACAAATGTTGCTAATTTTCACTCCAACTGTTATGTACAATAGTAAGGGATGCCTGTAATTGCAGTTTGATAGCCTCATATTACCAAGCCAGTCCTTTAACTATATGATGGCATCACTTTAAAGATATCTATACCAGCCTCGCTAGCTACTTCCAAGCCCAATTCACAGAATTGTTTTTGATTATTAATGCCCTAAATATTTTGGGTCCAAATTATCTATAGGACTTCCCACTCCTTTACAATACAAATCTGGGTACAGTTTTAAGATAACTCTAATCACTCTAATTATTGACTTCATTTTCCAAATCAATAAAATGCACCAAAACACTTTGTAGTTGTTCCATAATTCTTAATCTGTGGAATTCATGCCTGAAAAAAAATATAGTGGGCTTTCCTATCTTTGCTTTGAAGAAAGCTTTAAAAGTTTGTTCTCTTGACTTGCTTATTTGTAACAACCCTGTAGCAAAGATTGAAAAACAGATCCATATGATAACAAAGAAACTGCTCATACCGAAGCCAAGATAAGGACTACTTACCTGAACCCCAGTCAGATCTTGAAGCTGCTTCAAAGCAGAATCAGCATCTTTCACCAGGATTGTTGTCATCCCCATCTTCTGGGCAGGCTTTAAGTTTGCACCAATGTCATCCAGAAAAATAACCTAAAGTGAAGAAAGAATCAAGATCTGCTGCAGGTGGAGGGCCCATATTCTACAAAAAAATATATATTCTTTATCCAGGCAATCCAGAGAAGTGGAACTTTGCAATATGTACTAAGTATGCAAAATGAATTTACAGAACAGGAAAGAATAAGGTATAAAATATTGCACTGAAGCCTGCCCTCCCTCAAAATAAAGGATCTTGTTCATTAATCCCCCTATGTTTAAAAAGATCAATAGCCACTGCTGCATAAATTTTTAAACATATCCTCAACCATTAGGACTAGAATGTGAAGGTAACAGGGAAGAAGATTTAGAAAGAAAAACTAGAAAATACAGTATTTCAGAATTTTTCTTTGCAGAGTTTTAAGCTTTTGGGGGAAGGGGGAAGAGGGGGAAATTAAGATTTGCGACATGGAGGACTAGGTTAATTCCATCTTTATCACACTTATTTGAGGCACATAGTGTACACATTACTGTTTGCCCTTATTAAAATGTTTAATACAGCAAACACAGTGTTGCCTCTATTAGAGAAAAGATGGGAATGCCTATCTTCTAAGTGGAATTCTAGTCAAATCTCCCTCCCTCAAATTACTTTTCAAAGAAATTAAAAAGAGAAATACAATCTGCTAATAGATCTCCAAGTTTTTATTAATACTCAAAGTACCATTGTGTTTAATAGGCTTCAAAGTGTTCCTCTGAGGCAGGGGTGTCAAATTGCTGGCCCATGAGCCGGATGCGTCACATGGAAGCTGCACCCACCCCAGCTCCGGCAAGGGGGGGGGAAATCACAACACGTCACAACACGTCATGTGACGAGTTTAATACCCCTGCTCTGAGGTTTCATTGAAATCTAAACTGGCAAGAGAGAACCAAATCCCAATAAAAATATCTCCATAACATGACAAAGCACCGTAGAACATTATCATCTCTACTACAAACTAGAAGCTGATGTAGTGAATGATGCAGACAGACAAAGCTGGAAATCTGTTAGAAAAAAGGATGAGAAGTCACTAACCTCCTCAGGCGTTGCCTTCAGTTCATGTAATGTATACTCATAAATCTTGGGATCTGGTTTCTGCAGGCCAATCCGACATGACTCTATCACTGTGTCAAAATATTTCCTCAGCAGACATAAGGCAAACCCTGTGTGATGCCTGCTAGGAGTATCATCAATCCAGTTATTTGTCAGGACAGCAATTCTGAAACCTGAGAAGAGGTAAGAAACTGAATAGATGAGGAAGAATGAAAATTGTTGGGGGCAATATGCCGACTCTGTAAACCACTTAGAGAGTGCTTTAAAGCACTGGGCTGGAGAGCTGGGAGGAGAGCCCCACATTTTGTAACAATTGGTGAATGTGATTAATGACAGCACATTGGGGTGGGAAATGCAATTGTAACTTTGTAACCAGGGGGAGGGGATTTTTAGTCTTGGGTTCACCTTTGTACGTGCAGATATCTTGTTTTCTAAATAAAATGTTCTTTAAGGAAGAAATCCTTAAAGTTCTTTTAAATGGTTTCATCTATTGGAACCATGACAGTCATATTAAGAAAAGTCTAGAAGTCTAGAGCCCATTCTGAGCTAACCTGCTTATTACTCTTTCTTGCTGAATAAAGGGGTGGGGGACATAGCTGGTACCTGTGAAAATATCACTTTTGGTTCCCATCCCAGAGTCAGGCCTTGCAATTTCATGACCACAGCAGGGCCATGAAATCATGGTGCCAAGTTTTGATAAACACCATGGGGTTGTTATAGTTTGTTGGAAGCTCCTGCCTAGAACCTAGCATTAGGTATTGGCTACCCTTGAGGTATCTCTACTGTAGTTATTAAGGAGATCCTAACACCTTGTAAGAGATTTGGCTATCATCTGGCTTGGTATGTATGCTTTTTATTTTATGTTTTTAAATTTGTATGCTTGAGCTAATAATAAAGCTTAAAATTTATTTATTTACTGGTGTGCTTATTATCTCAGGATCCAAAAGAACCAATTGCCTGGGCATTTGATCACTACCCTGACACTTGGCAGAAAAGTATTATATATTTTTGAGAGCCATTTTGGTATGATGGTTAAGATGCTGGCCTAGAAAACAGGAGACTGCAAACAACAACAACAACAACAACAATAAATGATAATATTTATATGCATGAATAAGCTAACCTTGAATTTTTAACCAAAATAACCCTCAAAATGTTTGTACATTTTAATTTTCACAATTGGCTTATAGGCAGGTGGCACATTTTTCACAGTATTGTGGCCAAAGGTTTGAAGGTCAGATTATCTGTGAGAATATATGGATATTTTTTAAAAAATTACCATATATATACTCTCAAATAAACCCATCGATGGATAAGTGAAATCCAATCTTTGTAGTAGTATTTTACAACCTAAAATTCTTTGGCTTATCCTTGAGTATCTACAGGAATGATTCTTAAAGCTAAAATAACTATAAAAAGCACAGAGGACATGCACCTTCTTGGAAAAGGCAATTTACTCTTTCCCCTTCATTCTCATGCAGAGAATGGAATGTGTCTTCTAAGGGAGTGGCCACCTTCTCAAAAAAATAGAGTATTTTGTTTAAAAATTACTAAATTGATTTGACAATAAATAAAGTGAAATAAATAGAGCAGGCATTATGCCACTGCCCTGCACAACCAAAATTTTACCATTTTTCTTGAGAAGCATAGCAGCCTTCAGGAAGGGTACACTAAAGCCACTTTTCGCCATCATTTCGACAAAGTTCTCGCCCAATGAGAAGTTTTCAGGGAGGGGGATATTAGAAGTAGAAGAAACTTTCTTGCAATCATCTTCAAAGTCAGCAAGAAGCTAAAACAGAGATGTTAAAATACAACTATTTTTATTTTAACACAATCAGAGTGGGACAGAACAAAGTGATAAGGATATCCATTGTAAGCATATTAAACAAGGAAGATGACTTGGTTAGGAATAGAAGTGGAGATATTTCATAAGCTATAAAGGAGTGTCTGGTTTGGGCTTCCTGAAAAATCCCCATATGATGGTTCCTAAATATTATATTTCTAAGAAATGAAACTGATGAGAGGAAAAAGTAGCTGTTCTCACAATAGAGAGAGCACTGTGCCAGCATAGATCAGATGCCTCCCAAGGCCATCGTGAATGGTCACTAATCCACTAGAAACATGAGTAAAGGAGGAAAAGTCTAGAATTTAAATCCCATATCATCAACCATGTAAGAGATTTGGTTTACATGTGCTTCAGTGGATAGAATTTCTATGTGTACATTTTTGCCTACAAGACATAATTTTGCTGGGTAAGATTTTTGTGAGCTTTTTGCCAAGCCAATATCTGAATATTGTGTTTTATTTCATTTATTTTTCAATTTAAACACTGTCTCATTCCACACTGACTGCAGAGAACAAAATAAAACATGCAAGATGGGAATCTGCCCAAACAACAGAGAAAAATATATACAAAACATAACTATCAAGAGCCGCCATGCATGCTAGCCCAAGACTTGGGAGAACAGTCAGATATTTAAAGGCTTCTGGAATGACACAAAGGTGAGAACTACGTGGATCTCTGAGGGAATCTCATTTCAGAGGGCAGGCACTGCAAAAGAGAAGGCATACTTCCTGGGTTCAGATAGATTGTGTTGTTCAAAGAGACCAGGAGCATGGTAACCCTGCAGGTTTCTACTGACTGAAATTACAGGAGATAAATGATCCCTCAGATAACCAAGCCTCATGCCACATAGGGCTATGTAGGTGATAAGTAGCATCTTGAATCACACCTGGAGGCACAGTGGCAGTCAGTACAGCTCATGAAATAGAGGCATCCCACAGACAAACCCTTAAGTGTTTGGAGACCTGACATTTATAGATATGTCTCCATGAAGCATGACAACAAGGATGTTAGCATTGCATTGATGTGGCACTGTCTATTCTGAAAGATGTCATTCTCCCACCCCACTTTAAGTCCAGTCTCAGCAAAAGATCATTCATCCAGAGTTCATTTTATCTGGCTGTACTAGGAACTGAACCTGGAATGTCCTGTGTGGCCAGGAGATCCCAAGTTAAAACATATCCTAATTTCTTCCTACTCCCATCCTTTTTATTTTTTATCATTTTAATAAGATTTCTATTGATTAGTTTGTTGCTCCAGGAGCCTTTTTAACTGAAAAGTGTGATATAAATACACATTAATTAAAGCAGTCTCAGACTGTAGTGAAAAGTGGCTCCATAGCGGTTTACAAATGTCAGCATATTGTCCCCAACAATCTGGATTCTCATTTTATCAACCTCAAAAGGATGGAAGGCTGAGTCAACCCTGAACCAGTCAGGATGAACTCCTGGCTGTGGGCAGAGTTTACCTGCAATATTGCATTCTAACTACTGCGCTACCACGGCTTCCTTACTTGACTAGGTAGCAGCATCAGTGTTACATCTGCTAGAAAAACAACCAAACTCAAAGAGCACTAAGGACGCCACAATTCAACCCTGAGCTACAAATATTTTCTTCTATTGGTAAAACACACATTGGAAGTAAATGGTGAAATATTTATACCCAGTAAGGGTTTCTGATGTCTTTGAGTGTTTTTCAATAGCAAACTTGGATTGTTAATCTATTTCAGTGTTCCTCACTTATAAGTATAAATTCTAATTGATGGCTTATGATCAATTCTATAGATAGAGTTTTTTAAATTGTGTATTAATGTCTGATCTATAGAAACTCACAAACTTTTTCTGATCCATAAGGCTATCTAGAATGTTCAGGTTCAGGCATTCACACAAAACAGCCATCTTGGAGGGATTATCTGGTAAGTAGGGGCCATCCTAGCCATTGGCCTCATAGGAGAACAAAGGAAAGACTGACTATGGATGCCAAGAAAGGCTTTCCTAAGCTCAGTGATATTTATACACATCATCTTCATGACTCACACAATGTTGATGGCAATTGCTTCACTCCTATACTGTACTTTTGCCCTGCTCTAGGGAAATCTCAGAATTCAGCCTGAAAAGGGGTTCCTCCAATAAACCTGGTCTCTGATCAAAAGCAAGTGTACCACCCAAGATCATCTGAAGAGTGAAAGGCAAGGATGTAGCTGAAACATCTTGTAATGTATTGAATACAACAAGGAACTGTCATGATATGTGGTGGCACTGTGGTTAGAATGCAGTATTGCAGGCTGACTCTGCCCACTGCCAGGAGTTTGATCCTGACCGGCTCAAGGTTGACCCATCCTTCCATGGTTGGTAAAATGAGGACCCAGATTGCTGGGGGCAATATGCTAACTCTGTAAACTGCTTAGAGTGCTGTAAAGCATTGTGAAGCGGTATATAAATCTAAGTGGTATTGCTATTGCTATTAAATAGTTTCTGTGGTATCCTGAATAATGTGAACCAGACTCATCTCACCCATCCCTTTTCTGCTCTATGGAATTCCCTAGCCCTGATGCCCAGAATCCCTCTGGGTAAAGGGAGATGCCAGAAATGGAGCATTGGTATTTATGTCTTCAGACAACCTGTTCTTCCTTGAACTATGTTCTCTTCCAATAGCAGCTAACTCTTACCTGAGTTAATCCAATCTGTCCAGTCATCCCTTTTGAGAAAGGTCCATCAGAGCCATTATGCCGAATGACTTTTTGAAAGAAATCTCTGGAAGTTGAAAAACACATTCACATAAATTAGGGGAATAATGATTCTTTTCAAGGCAGATAGCAGTTGGGCTTCAGTCATCACACCAATGGTAGAACATTGTGCATCTAAATATCAAACTATAATTAATCAGACCTTGCTACAGTGATATCAGTAAAATGCAATGCAAGTCTTAGAAAAATATGAATGTGTTAAATTCCCATATGCATGTCCCAAGATAACATACATTTAGAAATGCATTGACCTATTCAGTCCAATAAGAAAAGAAATAATAGATTTATTCATATTTTCTGGTTCCTATTCAGAAACTGACATTATGAAAAAAAATGTAAGAGTCATTGTTTTGAGTTAGTCCTTGGTCTCTTGCCTTATACAGCAAAATCAATCCGAGGACATTTGTGGAGGACTTTTTATAGCTACATACTAGGCTTAAATGAGTATTATTGGAATATGGGTCAAATAAAATCTCTTTCAAATCTAGTAATATTTGTGAGAGCTACCAATGAATTTGCACAGACATCCAAATAACCTTTATAAAGCAGGAAGATGTTTAAAGAACACACATTATCCCATTTTATACTGGAAATCATATACTGTTTTGATAGCTCTTTATAATGGATTACTATGAATGACTGTGGGGAAAAATGCACGCGCAGCAAACTGCCGTACTTCCCCCCCCCCACAAACCTCATAACCTTTTGATACCCTCTGTCCCAATGAAGCAGCCAGAAGGTCATCCCCTTTTGACTTAATGCCTCACCTACCTAAATAGATAATATGCTTAAGCTACTTCCTATCTCTTTCTGCCTTTGTCAGTTCTTTCTTCTTTTGATCTACTGTATTTGTTCTTTACCTAGTCTTTGATCAGGTAATATGTTACTAGAAAATAGTTGCTTATATGAAGGAATTTTCCAATGAAGAAACTTTATGTCAGCATCTAATGGTTAAACTTATGAATGTAAAATATCAGCATTTAATGGTAAAGCCTATGTATTTAAATGTATATAAAAACCAATAAACACAGAGATTCTCAAGCTGTCTCAAGCTAGTGACAAGCAGCTCTGCAGCAGCTTCAAATCTCTGCTCAAGACATGCCTGAGTTTTTTTCTTAGCGTCTTACAAATGACTAGCACATAGTTGTGTGTTGCTCAACCATGATCTATCTTACTTGAATCTGGATCTTACACCCTATGCAACATTAGCTCTCAAATATGATTTAAGCGACAGCATCCTACTCCTTTCAGAAAGATTGCAACAGCACTTATACAATGAAATATTCTGCATTATGTTGAAAGGAGAAAAAGATATAGTATGGTGTAGCCATGGAAAATATCAGCAAGCCTAAAGTATAACTAGGTATAATCTGACTAGAACTATAAATTCACCTATTTGGAATATCAATACAGAACACAATTATTCATATCACTAACAGTCATTTAGATTGGGGTGGAAATCTAAATGTTGTAAACCAGAGGTTCCCAATCCCCAGCTGTGGCCTGTTTGAAACTGGATTGCAACACGTGCACCCACGCAGCTCCATTTGCACAAGCGGCAGACACGTGTGCCTGCTGCTTGCACAACTGGAGCAATGCGCGCACACTCGCCCACCACTTACATGGAACCACCCCCTCTTCCCCCACACCAGTCCACAAAGCTGTGTAAAACTCCACTTGCACGAGTGATAGGCGAGCACACACACGTGTAGCTCCATTTGTATGAGCAAAGGTGTGCATGCCCACCACTTGCGCAAATGGAGCAGTGTGCACGCTTGCCCAGAACAATCCCTCCCCCACTGGTCCACAAAGCTGGAAAGGTTGGGAACGCTGTTATGAGAAATCCAGAATCCCTTGATAGTGAGATGGGCAACATATAAATTTAATAAAGGTAGCCCTAAAAATTCAATTTATTTGTATGCCACCTAATTCACCATTTTTGTTCCTATAACCTGAAAGTGACTTTGTGTTAAGTACTGTCACACCAGTTTGGAGGAAACCTTTCCTTGCAAATCCTCCAGATAAGAAAAAAGGTACTTAGACTTCCGGTGGATCTGCACGGTGATGGCAGCTACTTTGTAGCCGTCCTCCTGGGTAAGTGTAATGAACCGCTATGAACAGCAGACATCAGCTGTTCAGCGGTTCAAAATCCCCCTCCCGGGCAAAGGGGGGGGTAGAGGGTTGTCTGAATAGTGGTAGAGCCTCTTATGCACCCCCCTTTCCTTTTTTTGGGGGGGGGGTGACAGAGTGCTCCCACGGAGTTCAGACTGTCTCCTCTTCCCAGCTGCTTTTGTCCCTAGGGACAAAACAAGCCGTTGCAAACACCTCCGCGCTTAAAGTGATCTGGTGAGTTTTTTTTAGAAGCGGACAGAGTTGATTAGAGGATTTATTTTTTTGCTTTCTTTGACTTTATATGCATTTTAAGTTTAAAGATTTATTTTCATGTTTATATTCTCTCCTTTTACTTTTTACTTTGTGCTGAAAGGGAAAGTAAAATGGCGATCGGCAGACTGCCGTTTCTTTTTGTTTTTGCTTTGTTGGGAAGTTAGAACGCTGATCGGTTTTTTTCTTTTTTTTTGCCCTCTTAATGACTGGATGGATTTTAGAAGCATTATTATTTTTGTTATTTAACTTTTTAGTTTTGTTTTTTTGTATTTTTAATAGTCTGGTCTTTTGGTGTTTAAGACTTTTAAAAGGCAGGCTTTTTGATGTTTCTCCTCCCCTTTTTCTTTCCTTTTCTTTTTAATGATTGGAATGGATATTTTAACTCTCTTTTTTTTAACTCCCTTTTTTCTTTTTATCATAATGATTTTTCTTTTGAGGGAGTCTTGATTTTTTTTTCTTTCTTTTTCTTTTTTTTGAAGGAATTTTTGTAACTTTTAAGAAGGAGTAAGTCTTTTTTTAAGATGGCTCCAAAGCGTCCAGGAACCTCTACAGCTTCTAAATCAATAGTTCCACCTTCCTCTGTGGCCCAGCCAACAACTGTGACAGATTTGCAAGATATGATGGGAAATGTTATAATTCAAATTAGGGCAGAAATGAAAAAGATCTTAGAGGAAAATAATAAGACTTTGAGGCAAGATATAGTTTTGGCTTTAAAAGGAGTTGCTTCTGTTCTTGAAAAGTTGAATTCCCGTGTGGAAGAAGTAGCTGAAAAAGTGGAATTAATGGAGGGAAAAATTGAAAGTATGGAAAAAGAAATGGAAAATGAGATTCTTATGCTTCAATATGGTCAAATGGAATATGCCTTAAGAATAAGAGGCTTGGGAGAGTCTTTGCAAGGAGATCTGAAAGAGATGGTTGCAAAGGACTTTGCCGTGATTTTGAATAAAAGAAAGGAGGAAATATTTAGTGAAATTGAAAAATTATTTAGAGTCAACTCCGTGGTGGCAGTGCAAAAGAATTTGCCAAGAGATGTGGTAATTTATTTTGGAAAAAGATCTTTACGCAATGAAATCATACAAGCTTTTTATAAGAAGAGATTTCAAATTGCTTCACAAGACGTCATAATCTTAAAGGAGATCCCACCTAAAATCTTAAGAAGAAGAAAGGACTTTGTTTTTTTAGCAGATGAACTTAAAAAGAGACGAATTTCGTTTAGATGGGATGTTCCGATTGGAATGGTGGTCAACTACCTGGGGATATGTTATAGACTTAACACTGTTGCTCAAGCAAAAGATTTTTATACTTCGGTCCTGGGGGTATGTTTATCGCCATCTATTAAGTTTAAAGCCTTGGAAGAAAAGAATGTAGAATTACAGTTTGAAGAGCCTATATTTATGAAAATTGGGGAATCCTTGGACCCTAAAATTGGGGAATATTTGTTGGAGAGGTCTCAACACGTTCAGATTGAGGAGCAAAAGATAACTTGTGTAGCACATAATTGCAAAGAAAAACAACAACAGAAGAAGATTAAGGAAGCCTCACATTTAGTGGCTCTTGAACCTGCGGGAGAAGCAAGATTTACAAAGCCTTTGGAGCAATCTTTAAAGGTGGAATTGTTGTCTGAAATGGAAAATGGGAAATCTCAGCTTGAGGGGTTTCAACAAGCTGAGAGGAAGGGGAGGATAACTTGTGCAACATATAAAGAAAACCAACAGAATGAGGAGTTTAAGGAATCCCCATGTGTATTGGTTTCTGAGTCGTTGGGAGATTCAGCATCCTTAAAGGCAGAGCTTAGAGCATATCTTTTGAGCTTGATAAGCTTAAAGACGGAGACTGAGAATGAAAATGGATAACTGAGACTAATAATAATATGATAACGGATGGAGAGTGAAAATGGACAATTGAGACTGATAAAGATTGTGTTTCTTGTGGATGGAATTTGTTATTGGTGAAGATTTAAATGTTTAGTTATTGTTAAAGACTTAAATGTGTATAAGGGATTTTTTAAGTTTTAATTAATGTTTAAATTTGTGTTTTGGAGGGAGTTTATAAAAATGATAATAATATCAGTATTATTATTATTTTCAAGATGAAATTTGATTAAATGTGTATAAGGGGTTCTTAATATTTTATGTTTTAAGTAATGTTTAAATTTGTGTTTTGGAGGGAGTATAATTTGTTTATTTCAACATTTTAAGTTTTAAGTAATGTTTAAAGTTTTGGAGAGAGTATAATTAGTTTAATTAAATGTATTCAGATTTGCTAATGATTCATATTAGATTTTATATTGTAGGTATAGATGTTCAAAGAAAGTTGTGTTTAAAATTGTGTTTTGGAAGGAACTTATATAGAATGATGGATAATATTATAAGTATGATTAGAAGATGTTTAGAGTATATTATAATGTGTTTAATGATTTTAATTACTATTACCTTTTAGAGATAATTTATTTAACTTAAGGTATTTAGATTTGTTTAGGATTTATAGGTGCTTTAAGTTTTTTTTTCTCTTCTTTTTCTTTCTTTTTTTTTTTTTGAAACATTTTGGATAAGCCTGTAACCAACTCTGGGAGGTCTAGGGTAGGGTTAGGGAGTTGGGGGAGGGTATGGGAGGGTGGAGGGGGGTTGGGGAAGGGATTTGTTTTGTAAAATTTTAAAAATTTTCAATAAAAAAAAAGAAAAAAAAAAGAAAAAAGGTACTTAGAACTCATTACTGCACTGTTCAGTAGCTACAACTTTTTTCTGCCTGGCTGTTTCTCTAGTTCCAAATTTTTAAATGTGTCTAGAATCCATCTTAAATTGTTTAAATCCATATTCTTTATTTTCAAAGACTTTTATAGCTTTGGATTTAAAAGCACCTCTGTACTTACTGTATATATACCTCAAAGCATCTTTGTTATCTCCATTCCCTATCGCAGTGGTTCTCAACTTGTGGTCTGCGGACCCCTGTGGGGCTGCGATATCATCACAGGGGGCCCATGAAGGCTTGAAAAAAATGTTATGATTTAAATCTTAAGTCTTGTGGTCTGTGGCCACAAAAGGTATTTAAAGGGGGACCGTGGTGAAGAAAAGGTTGAGAACCACTGCCCTACAATACAGTACTTCTAGCAACCTCAAACAATCGTCTATTTAAGCCTTACTTTTTGTCCTATGAATTTGCATTTGCCCCTCCAAGTTTCTTTCTTCTAATCAGGCATCCAGATACAATACAGTCTATATGCTGGTTTTCAAGCTCAGAACCTCAGAGTAATCATTGAGTAGGATAAGCTATGCCTAAAACTTATAATGTATAATTTCTGAAAACTGCTCCATGTCTTCAGAAAGTACGAGGTCTAGTCTAATCTAGCCTAACCTAGTTTAACTATCTTTCTGACATGCTATTTTTCTGAGACAAAATTTAATACAGGCAGTCTTTGACTTACAACCACAATTGTGTCCAAATGGGAGACATTTGTTAAATTAGTTTTGCTCCATTTTACAATCTTTTACAATCTTTATGGTTGGTAAATGAATCTGACTTCCCCATTGACTTTGCTTCTCCAATTGTTGCAAAAGGGGATCACATGACCCTGGGACACTGCAACCGTCATAAATATGAGTCAAATAAATTAAAAAATTAAAATAAATTAAAAAATAAACTATCTCTGCGGGAGATGGGGGTTTAAGAAATAGGAAATATAAATAAAATAAAGTACTGCTTCACACTTTTTGTGATATTTTTGGTTGGTCCCAAGAAAACTACTTCTCAACACCTTCAACTGGATCTTGCTAATTTGCATTAAAGAGGATCCTTAATGTATAACTCCCTTCAACTCTTGTTATGGGAAATTTGAATACCCATTATAACAATAAATTGTGGGTTAACAAAAATTGCCTACGTCTTCATGTGATATATGAATATTTTTATGTTCTTTTGGATAACTTTTTAATAATTTATTTGGTTGACTTAATTTACTGTGAGGCTCCTACTCTCAACGTGGAACAAGTTCATATAATTCTTTAATATGCTTGTGATCACATGCTTTATGTTAAGCTAGAAAAATATATCTTTGATTTGTCTCTATTGCATTATTAAGACTACCATATTTCTTTGGAAGGAATTTAGATGAACCAATTAAAGTAAATCTGTTCTGAATGGGAAATCCTCCTTCCCCCTGTACTATGAATGGACTTTTTTTAAAAAAAAGCAATTATCTAGTTTCAATTTGCCACAAAGAAGAGGGAGTCAAGCTATTCTCCAAAGCACCTGAAGGCAAGCAACGGATGGAAACTAACAAAAGAGAGAAGCAACTTAGAACTAAGGAGAAACTTCCTAACCATGAGGACAATTAATCAGTGGAACAACCTGCCTCCAAAAGTGGTGAATGCTCCAACACTGGAAGTTTTTAAGAAGAGACTGGACAGCCATTTCTAAAAAAAAAAAAAAAAAAGGTGCCGGAACTCACACACATCATACAATCCGCCTTGCCTACCCTACAAGGTTCCATCCAAAAAAGGTGCCGGAACTCCGTTCTGGGCGTTCTATGAGAAAAAAAAGCCCTGTGAAATGGTATAGGGTAGTCTGCCTAAGCAGGGGATTGGACTAGATGACCTCCAAGGTCCCTTCCAACTTTTTATTATTATTATTGTTACTATTATTATACTTTATTCTTACTTTTTCAGAAGGATACGAAAGCTATTCATAGGCCTTCTTGGTAAAAAAAGAGTCTTTTATGTACACAAACCCTACAATAAGCTCTGATAGAGCATATTGCTTAGAACAATGGTCATCCCGGTTTTCAATGACATCCTCTTAGGCAAATCTCAGACTCCGATGCATTATTATAAGGATAAAAATGTTCTACCAAACTGAGCTGTTATACATAATATCCACGGGAAAAGCAATAATTAGTGCATTATGTATCAAGGAAGTAATTAAACAAATATCTTAAGTAACCTGTGATGATTTTGCAATACTATAAAACCTGCCTTGGTTACCACAATGCTAACAAAATGAGCTGTGTGAATCTATACAGAAGAAATAATTATTAACTAGCTTAGAAAGTTCCAAAACTGGCACCAGGTATCCTCTATACTTATGTTTTGTAAAGCATGTCCAAGGAACTCTGAGGGTCCCCATAGAGCCTCGCAGGGTTTCACAAAATCAAAATTATTTGCCAGATAGTGAAGATACTAGCAAATATTTAAATCAATGTCATTTTCTGTTATTATTTGTTAAAAATATAGGTATTTTCATGATTTTTTTTTATTTTTGTTAATTTTGAATGGTTTAATATTGTTATTTTTACATAGTTCTATAAACAAATGCATCTATTTTAATTTTTAATATGATAAATATTGATAAATATAACTCACAGAAGCAGAAGACCATTTGGGGTCATCCCTAATTTTTAAAAGTGGGAAGGATCCTGGGGCCATCTAGAATCTTTGGAAAGACACATTTGGAACAACCGTGACCAGGATGACTGAGAATCTCCATAGACAACCCCTTTTAAGGTATTGCAGACTCTCAACATTGCCATCCTTTAAGCTAAATTAAATCTTCTTATACTGGCCTTACCAAAGCAGTAACTTCCAATATATAAACTGCCTTTTCAATGGACTGCTTTTATAATGGTTGTAAACTACTTTGAGATGCTTACAACAAAAAGCAGCATATACATCTTAAATCAATTAGTGAACAGTCTGCCATGACAAATCTTAAGTACAATTATTGTGCATTATTTCCCGATTTACTTTTCCTTCCATTTTGTCCTCATTTCCCACACATAATTTGTAGTTCTCTGGCACATAGATTTGCTTCCCCATTCTGGATAAAGTATCACACACATCAGTGACACTATAAAAATAACAATTACTACAACACCTTTGCTTACATTTAACATAATAATTCTAACTGCAAGACAGCATCGGAATTTCTCTCCTATTTTAAAATTCTTCAAAATCCCGAAGAACTGAACACATTGGTTCTCTAACTGCCGCAGATCAGTGGATAAAATGCGGGCTATATTTCCGTATTCCTACATTCAAAATAGCCATTCACCCAGAAACTTTCGTGAAGTTCACACTGAACTTATTGTAAACGTCTAATACTTGGAACTTTTGAATAAATACGTGCAAAAACGTATTGCGTATACGCAGTGAAAGTCGATCGCCACCGATCAACCGCAAAGCGTTTCCTCCATGCCTTGAAGTACATGGCGAAAGCGCCACAGGCGTTTATGTGTATTAAGCCAATCGCACTTACAGAAATTAAGTTTTGGATCATAACTGCGGGTGGACGCAGCACACGTATTGCTAAAGTCGACGTATGTAAAGATACAGAGAAACAGAATCAGGCAGACCCCTATCACCACTTCTACTCCCTTCGATTACCCACCCAGGCAGGCCCAAAGTCTTCTCCAGATTTCGGAAAACTATCTGACTGCTACCCAAAAGGACGCCGCCCAGGTCGAACAAGACTACTAGCGGCCGCTTCCCCGCCATAGCTCTCCGAGGCAGCCAACCAGACGCTCTGAAGCAGGTTACAGTACAGCACATTACAATACTCTCACTTAAGAGAAATCATAACACAAACCACGCCCTCCTGCAAGCCACACCTCCTCGCTGTGTAGGAACTCATTGGGCCACGCCCTCGGCGACTCACAGCGACCTCCTTCAAACCAGAGACGATAGGTCTGATCTTTCTCGAAAGTATTCTGGGTCCTAGCGCTATAGGTCTACAGGGGGGAAAAAAGGCACAGCAAAGGTCCTCCCAACTCCTTCCTATACTGGATGAATTGGATGCCTATAAGCAACGCATGGAACAAAAGTTGGTGCTTATCGGGGCAGCTACCAATCAGAGGTGCTTTTTCTCTGAAATGGAGATTCCATAAGTATCACTGATTGATTCATGGAGTTGGCCATGAATCTTCTGCTCAGAGGCAAATGTCCACATTACTGCAGAGTCTCAACAGATGGCTACCTAACGTTTTTCCTTAGACAGTAGTATGGCAAAGGTTAATTCTCCAACATATACTTTGTTCTTCTGTTCTGCAAGTTAGTTTCTTTTACAATCCCGGCTGCACTTCTCCGTCTCTCTTTCTCCCCCACTACACTTGTCTAGGATGCTGGCGTACCACCTGCCACCGATGGTATGCCACAGGTTGAAAAGTCCTGTTCTAGGGAATAGAGCAGGTCTTAATCTTCTCTGTGATAGCTTTTTGAAGAATGTTGTATCCCTGAACCCAGTCTATTCCTAGTTTCTACAGACTCCATGAAACCTGATCGTTCTTCCCCCTCTTTTCTGTTCAACCTGTTCAGAAAAGTCTGAATTGTACTTATTGTCTAGTACTGAACACAATGCTCATTGAGATCTGAGTACTGCATTGTAAATTGAAGCTAATTCCCCCCTGTGATTTTACATCTACATTCCTGTTGACCTAGGAATAAAGTGCATTTGCTAATTTTTCAGCCACACTATGCTGTTCACTCACATTCATTTTGCTGTCAAGTACTCATCCAAGATCTGTTTCACAAGGATTATTACCAAGCTAGGTAACCGCGATCTTATATTTGTGGACCTGATTTCTGTTTCTTAGGTAAAGAACTTTGCATTTGTCTTAGTAAAGTTTGATTCTGTAACTTTCAGTCCATTTTTCTAGATTATCAACAAAGTTTTTATTTTTATTTTTATTAGTAGTATTTAGCATTAGCTGTCCAACCTTTTTTGGGATTTGCAAATTTTATAAAGATTCCCTCCACTTTCTCATCCAAGCATTAATAAAAATGTTAAAGATTCCTGGAAACAGGAATGGCAGCTCTTTCGGTACCTCTTGTGTTTGTTGAGGAAACATTGATGAATATCCACTTAACTGATATGTCATTCCATTCATATCAAGCTAGATACAATATCATGGATTACTCTGACAATTTGTTTTATCAAAAACATACAGTGTAAATTATGTCTATGGCATCCCCACCATCTACTAAAGTAGTTGATTCAATTTTAAAAAATATGATCAGCTTAGTAGGGCAATATTTTTTATCTCTCGTAATTACCTAATTATTTTCAATGGATCAAATTGTGATATACTCTAGAATATTCTCAGTTACAAATTTCAGGTTTACTGGCATTTAATTCCATCAGTAATCACTTTATTTATTTACTTGGATTTCTGAATAGATTTAACATATATCTCACATATTCCTTTATTTCTATTATAACTTTTCCCTTTGAACAAATTATGTCCTTCAATGGTTATATTCCAGTCATCAGAATTGTCCTATCAAGTTTCCATTATATTTACTGAATCATATTTTCCTTCCTGTATAAAGAGTTCAGGCTCATTAGCTTTCCATATTGTTACCATTAGTGTTTAGACATAAAGGTCTTGAAGCCAATGTTATTTCTGAATTTTCATTAAATGGTCTAGTAGGTAACATTGAAGCAACTCTTTCTATAATGTAAGTCTTTTTTTGGAATGCTGCTCTCAAGATTTTTTTTCTCCATCCTTCATAGAATTCAGATCAACCTTGTCATGCTTTGGCCGAATACATGTTCACTGGAACTTCTGAAGTGAAACCCATCTTGTGCTTACAGTCCATCTTTTATTTTTTAAAATAATATTTTTATTAATTTTCTAATTTTATATTTAGGTATTTAAAAAGCAACGTGGTGGCTGGGTTAATCAATAGTTCGGTAACATACAAAAATCTTTAGTACAAATCTCAAACTACAATCTCAAATATTTCCTCTCTTTTTCCCTTAATATCTACTATCTAATATTTAAGCTAATACAGTTCTTATTATATCAACTAAATAAAAACATCATTATTACATTTATCAATAAATTTTTAGCTTATATATATCTTAATTACTTTTACATTCAATCTTTACAGTCAATCAATGTCCTGTTATTGGTTTTCCCCAATTTTTAGTTTCTCATTTATAATTTCCAGGTTTTAGGTAACCAAAGTTTCCTTTATCTCAATTCATAACAGAATCTAATATTCAAAATACACATCTTATCTATTTGGGTATAATCTTGTTCTATTTCCTAAAAGTTATCTATTTCCCCTCATCTTACATCATCTAATTAATAATACACTATCCCCTTTAATAAATCAAAGCCCATTATATATATTGTCTGAGTTAATCAATAAATCAAACATATTCATAATATATTTTTTTCTTTTGGGTCTAATTTTTAAGTAATAAACAAATAGCATCCTTATTTTCAACTAATTTCCAAATGTTTTAAATTTAATGACCAAAATTTCCTCTATCTCAACTTCTCCATTGAACTTCTAATTAGTAATATAAAATCCCCTCTGATAAATCAAAACCCCAATTTTCTTCAGCCTTATTCTGGCTTTCTTTCTTTGCCAGCTAGCCTTCCATGTCAATGCTTTTAAATCATCAAATAGATCTCCCTCTATTATTATACATATTGTTTGGAATAAGAGAGACCATTTAGTTGCCATTTTTTGGAAGGGCTAGCCAATTTGTATTTCTTAAATCATCTCCCTATTATTCCAAATCCCCATAATTGTCCTGGTATGTTTATCTTCGATTCAGTCTGTTCTTCTTCTTGCTCCTCAAATTTCTTCTGATTTATATAGAAAGTCTTTTCCATTTTCAGTGTTGTCGGACCCTTTTTTGGATATTCCATTGACTGTATTAGTTGGTCAATTGAGTCCTCTGTCTTAGTATTTGATTGTTTCACTTCTTTTACCTTCTGCATTGTTAGTTCTTTAGTTGTAGTCAGAATTTGTGTTTGTATATCTAAACAGACATCTTGTTCTTTTCTGTAACATCTTATTTCGTCACAAGCTGAAAGGATGGTTTCATGTATTGCTTTTAACATGGAAAGAATCTTTTCCTGGTCTTCATCCATCTTCTCTTAATGGTGCGTTAAGTTGAGGACTTTGAAATCAGACAATGAAAATAATTTTATAGCTGGGTATGGGACCTCTATTTCATGTGTTTGTAGGTAGTCTTTATAGTAGAAGTTGTTTGTCAAATAAGATTTTATAATCCAAGGTATTTCATCATCTCCAGTAATGACCAATATTCCTCAGATAAAAAAGTAGGAAGGCAATTCCCCACATACAGCTCTAAAAATCAATAAAAGTTTACATTCATAGTTCAAAGAGGCCAGCCATGCCACCCAGAAGTTCTCTTTACAGCTGAACTTCTCACAGGTGGTGTTTATCAAAGTTAAAAAGAGTCTTATCTATAGTCTGGGCTTCAAGCCAAGTCTCCTTTAGGCAACAACAAGCTGTAATACCAAGCTTCGCCACAAGATGTCACTGATGCCACTTAAGGTTTTTTAAGTCCAAAATTTTTGTAGTCCTTTTTCCAATTTTATTTCTTTTTTATAGACAAAAGTCAAAAAGACAAAAGACAAAAATCTTCAGTGAAAATAAGAAAACCTTTGGTCCCCACGTTTCAGAAACATATAAATCCAATTATATTAAAGTTATTCTTTTAGTGCTTTAACTCCCCTGGGTAGTCAGTCATCGCTATTTTTAGAGGGTGGGATAGAAATTCCCTTCCCTCTCTCCTCACAGGGAGAAAGATACTTTGGGCAGATTTTACAGGAAGAAAAATACTTGGGATCTTAGAGAGAAGATCGGATCTCACCCAGTTTCATCCACGTTGCTTTAGAAGTGCCTGGTGGTAAGTTTGACTTCGGCTGTCTGCAGCCTAGTGATGAGCCATATTGCTATGGTCGGTCTTTCCTCTGCCGGTTTGGAGGGCTGCCACGGATCAAGCAGAAGGGCTGATGCCCTCCTGCGATCAAGCGGGGGTCCCCTCCTTGCTTGTTGCCCCTACAGGGCGATTTTCAACCCTTTCCAGGGTCCCCCAGCGGAACGAAACCAAACATGGAACATGGAGCTCACCTTCCAGTGTCTGTGGTGTCCATGATGGCAAACTGCACAGTCCGTCTTTTAGATGACTCAGACTCATGACTTACAAGTTTTGATTTCCAACAGCTCAGAAAAACTGTTATGTCTTTTGCTGATGGTATCCTCTTTTTTTTTCTTACAAATAGTTGTTTCTTCTCTCAGCATTTATTGTAATACCTTCTTTGTTTGATCTAATGAATCTTTAAATCCTCTTTTGGGCTGATATGCAACCATTTATTGCTTCAGTGTTTTGTCTTTTTCTACAAGCAACCTACAAGCTTGCACTGGCAGATAATATATGCCAGGCTATCGTTCTTCCAACAGTGTCTGTAAGAGGGATCAAAATGGGCAAGATGGCAGATGCAACATTGTGATCCAAGCCCTGCCCCTTTTTCTACATGTGTCAACATCATATGAATGTATAAGAGGGGAAGGACTTGAATCATGATGTTATCTTTTGACCTCGTCTTGCAGATCCCATTGTTTTCTGTTTGAAAACAAATACTACATAAGAAAAAAAGTCAACAATTGCAATCCTGTCTATCCATCTTCTCTTCTGTTTCTTAAGGCACTACCAATAGACATGCTTTTGTTTCTGCTTATTCCCTTTTTAAGCTCTAAGGTATGCCAAAAGCATACTGTCAACTCAGCAGGAAAATTTATTAGGGATCTTTCTATCAAACTTTCCTGCTCA